CACGTATACTGTGCGGGTGGGTTAGAGGCCGCGTAGCAGAAGAGGCTGAGGTTTGCTCCTGGACGGTAAGATGAGTCTGGGGGGGAAATGGTGGGGGTGTCCGGGCCATCTGGAGCAAAGAGAATAAAGCCACATGTTATGTCATCTGTGGGAAGGGGACACTCCTGCTCTATTGAAGGGCCATAGTACTGCTTTGATCTGCATCCCAACCTTGCTTTAATCCCCCTTGTTCACTGAGCCTGATTCTGAGACCCTAACCTGTTTCTCACTTCCTGTTCTGTTGACCCTGAGATTCCCAAGACAGAAGCAACCCCTTCCCTCCTGTTCTTGGCTCGAAGCTTGACCTGTCGGGATTTGCCTTGGTCAGATATCATGGCCATCCTGAGTTTCTTGGAGCGAGGGTCTCTGTACTTGTACATGAGGGACTGAGTGGTCTGTCCTTTGGCTCTTGTGACTTGCTCTGGCAGTCTGGGTCAGGGGGAACAGAAGTTACTCACAGGAAATATTCAGGGTGACTGGGTCACTGCGGCCAGTGCTCACTGGGTTCTGGGTTCCACATTCATAGGGCCCTGTGTCATTCCTCATGACACTAAGTAAAGTGAGAGTCCTGTTGTCCGGGGACAGATCTAGCCTGGAACTGAGCTGGAGGCTCTNGTTGCCTCTCTGGGTTTGTTGCTGACCAGGTGACTGCCTGACTGACCTTGGGACATGTGGGCACCGAGTCCCTTCCAGCTGCACAGTCCTGCACTGCCTAGCTGAGGTGTGTTTTCTCTGAGGTGTTTCTTTTCAAGGACATCTAGGAAGGGCCATGATGGGGACTGGATGTTTGAGCAGAAATAAAACACATGAAATACCAGGAACAAGCCTGGTGATCAGTTTAGTAGTCAGGGTGTGTACCAGAAGGTGGGGACACACACACACTCACACACACACACACACACACACACACACACACACACACACACAGCATACATGTGTTTGTATATGCCCAGTACTCTTCATTCTCTCTCTCTGTATATAATTTTTGGCACAGCCCCTTCCCTCCATGCAGGACTCCATGGCTGAGTCTCTCTGCTTCTCCAAGTGAACATCACTCACTGTCGTATGTGGTCATCGCATGCGATGGTGTCCACAGGTTTCTACAACTGGTAACATCAGAGCCAGGACACAGCTCAGAGGCAACTGTCCCGAGGCTCGCTCTCATCCCATTTCCCTGCAACCTGACCTGAGGGAGGCCCTGGTGTCCACTGGTGGCACGTTTAGCCAGATTCAGGACAGGCCACCTGGGCACCTTCTCCACCTGCCCCAGTCCCAGCCTAGATGGCGTCAGCGCAGAGCAGTGACTGGGCAGCCGGGAGCAGAGCAGGAAGTAGAACTACGATCTGCTCATCCTCATCTGTGGCGTTTCCTCCTT